GGTGGTGTGTGTGTGTGTGTGTGTGTGTGTGTGTGTGTGTGTGTGTGTGTGTGTGTGTGTGTGTGTGTGTGTGTGTGTGTGTGTGTGTGTGTGTGTGTGTGTGTGTGTTGCGTGCTGGTGCATGCTTGCGCATGCTTGTGCATGGAATACTGAGTCCTGCCTTCACACATCTTCCTACCTCCTCACCCCGCATACGGCAACCTCTATCATTACCACCATCCCCACCACCACTTGTTTCAGGTACACGAACCAGAAGGATCTTCCCTGGCTCTCCCGCCGCTGCTACCCGCGCTACTGAGTCATCACACACACACACACACACGTGCTTGCACTGATGCATGCTAACAAATAGCATGGGCGTGGCATGTGTGGTTGTTGCTGTTGTCGTCGTGTCCTGCTCTCTTTCCTGACTCACTTCTTCACGGTGTTTGTTGAGTTGTTTCTTTCAACACTGTTTCTGGTTTTGATATATGTGTGTGTGTGTGTGTGTGTGTGTGTGTGTGTGTGTGTGTGTGTGTGTGTGTGTGTGTGTGTGTGTTGCCTGAACCGTTGGTGAGCTGATGGCCCCCTCTTCCCTGCGTGTCTTGCCTTCTTTCCCCATCTCCCCTCTTTCCATTTTCCATATCTGTCCTTGTTCTCTTGCTTTCGTCCTGACAACCCTTTGTTAGTCCATCCCTACACGACCCATCTGTCCGCACCTGCAACCCCAGCACCCCCAAGGTCTTTCTCTCTGCCTGCCCTTGCGTATGTGTGTGTTGCGTTGCTTGGTTTTATGTGTTACAAATTCACGTGTCCAATTGTGCACCCCTGTGCTGTCCCCCACACGCGTAAACGGCAACATCAAAGAACACAGGAGGTCCACAAACGCATGGCAAGGAGTTGTATCTCCATCAGCACACGAGACGAGAACGAAATGTGGTGGACGATTGAGGCAGCAAACCAACACGATGAAGCCTCACACGCATGCACATATGCACACCACCACCACTACCACCACCACTACCACCACCACTGCATTGGTTGCTCAGTTGGTGAAGGCCGAGAGGTCGAAGATCTTCCGCTTTGGGGGCGTGATCAAGTTTGGATCACGGTCGGACGTGTCCTCTTGTTGTTGCTGGTGCTGCTGCTGGTGCTGCTGTTGTTGTTGAGATGATGATGGTGGCGGTGGCGGTGCAGTGACGGCTGATTGCGACGATGGCTGCTTCGCTCCAAAGCTGACGAGCGGCATGGGTGCGGGTGCACTTCCGTCTCCACCGCTGCTGTGCTGCTGTTGCTGCTGGTGGCGTGGCTGGTACGGTGACGGTTGCTGCATCTGTTGCTGCCTCTCACGCCACGACAACTGTGGGCGGTCCTGTGTCCGCTGCTGTTGCCGCGGCGGCTGCTGCTGCTGTGGTTGGTATTGCTGCTGTTGCTGGTATCTTGATGCCGTTCCACTTGAGAGCTGTTTCGATGACGATGAGCCCGGTGCTGCTGGGGTGGCGGTGGTGGAGTTGTTTGTCGAGAAGAACCCTGCGAACATCTGCTGCGTCTTGAAGCCAAACTCTTCCTCCTCCACCCCTGTCTCGCTCACGTCATACACCTCGGGCTCATATCCGGTACCGCTGAACCCGGCAACACCGCCGCTGCTGCGTCGACGCTGCTGCTGTTGTTGTTGCTGTTGTTGCTGTTGCCAGGGCGACGCATGCTGCTGTTGCTGCTCATGCTGTGCTTGTCGTGCTTGCCATTGATCAATTTGCTGCTGCAAGTGCGCCTGTTGTTGCTGCTGCATCTGTGCCTGCTGTTGCTGTTGTTGCTGTTGTTGCTCCAACAGCTCTCTCGGCAGCTGGTAGGCGGACGAGAAGTCCTGCTTGACGCGGTGCGTGTCCTGTCCAGAGCTGACGGAGATCTCGCCGAGCGTGGAAAGAAGTTCCTGGCGCAGGCGCTCCATCTGCCATGGGAGCAAATGGGGTCGGGAGCATGTGAGTGAGTGAGTGAGTGAGTGAGTGAGTGAGTGAGTGTGTGTGTCGTGTATGCATGTGAAGTTGAGCTCACCTCTTGTCGCAGGCTCTCATTCTCCGTCGCAATTTCGTCCTTTGGCCTGTAAGAATGCATGATCATTGGTGGATGGAGTGTCAGCACTCACCGAGAATCAACGAGCACATGGGCTGAACGACAGACAGACGGATGGACGGACGGACGGACACACACACACACACACACACACACACACACACACACACACACACACACACACACACACACACACACACACACACACACATGTAAACACACACAGACACACACAGGCATGCAGCAGAGCGTGTGACGTACACTTCGTCCTCGAACATGAGGTGGGCGTATGGGTTTGGCTCCTCCTCCTCCTCATCGCCCGCGGGCTGGCCGTCACCGTCATCAGCGAGCGGTTCATACAGCGATGAGCGGTTCGATGCAGCGTCTTGCCTGCAGGCAACGCAACAATGATGATGATGATGATGATGATGATGATGATGATGATGATGATGATGATGATGATGATAACGTGTGGGTGGTCGCTGCTCAAAAATTGGCACGTGTGAACGCGAATGGGCAAGTTTGCGTTTGTGTGTGTGTGTGTGTGTGTGTGTGTGTGTGTGTGTGTGTGTGTGTGTGTGTGTGTGTGTGTGTGTGTGTGTGTGTGTGTGTGTGTGTGTGTGTGTCGTCGTCGTCGTCGTCGTCGTGGTGACGGCAGAGGAAAATGTACAGGCATGAGAGAGGTGTGGCATCATACACAACAGCAAACAGCCATACGAGGAAAGCATGCCCAATCGAGTGTTCCACCAATCGCAGGCGCCAACGCAAAGTGCAATCAATCACCAACGCAAGGACCAACAGACCAGCAGTGAAGAGTTCGTAGAGGAAGAGGCCAAATCCCCAGATGTCCTCCTGTACGGACATGCGGCGCTGCTGCTGCGTCTCGCGACCAACGACTTCGGGCGGCGACCACCTGAATTGGTAGAGGAACGTGGGGGTTGGGGGGTTGCGGACATGCATGGTTGGTGGGTTGGTAGGTACAGCGAGGACGGAAGCGTACAGCGAAGGTGCAATGACGATAATGAAGTGAGACTCGCAGGCACACGCATGTACGCACGGGCACAGACACAAACACAGACACAGACACACATAAACACACATAGACACAAACACAGACACAGACACACACACACACAAACACACACACACACACATCTTTATACGCGACTCCGTGCATACCTCATGAGGCGCTCCTGTGTCGGCGCGGTGTACCATCCCTCGGGCGCCGGATCATCGGCCTCCTTTCGGCGGGCAAAGTTGGCCAGTTTGCATCGCACATCCTCAGTTACCAGTACGTTGCGCGCTGCCACGTCCCAGTGCACTACGTTGCGGCTGGCGGTTGGATAAGCGATGGCATTTCCCGTGGCGCGTAATCAAGCGTGAGGTGAGTGGTGGTGATGAAATTGGGCATATGCATGCGTGATTGTGCGCTGGCGGGAGCAAGGTGTGCAACCGAGATCGAGGCGCTGTTTGGTGTCGACCAGCAATGATCCGCACTGACCTTGACAGGTAGATGAGGGCGTCTACGATATCGAGCGCAATCTTGCGGAGCAAACTGTTGTCGGTTGTGTTCTTGGCAAGGAAGTCGCTCAGATACCTGTGCCGCACACCGAAGGTGCAGGAGCTTAGTGAGTTGGATGGAGAACACGGGGCACCAAGCTGTGTGTACACGAGGGTGTGTGTACACGGGTGCATGTATATGACTGCGTATATACGAGTGCGCTGACCCAAACAAGCACACACACACACACACGCATTCATTCGCACTCGCACGCACACACACGCACAAGCACGCATGCACGCACGCACGCACACACACACACACACACACACACACACATGGCACGCAAACTCACCCGCGTTTGGTGGGCTCGTGTACGAGGATGATGGGCCCATCCTTGGACATGCCATGAACACTGAGCACATTCACGTGCCGCAGGTCGCTGAGGATGGTCGCCTCTTCCACAATGTTCGTGCGCTCCGCAGGCGTGTAGCCTTCCTTGAGAAGCTTGGCGCTGATGGGGTGAAACGTGGAATCCTGCGTTCACATTCAAGAAGACGTGGTGTGCGAGGGGTGAAGCGTGAGCGTAGCACGAAAGACAAAAGAAGAGGAAGAGGGGAAAGAGGGAAAGACGAGAGAGAGAGAGAGAGAGAGAGAGAGAGAGAGAGAGAGAGAGAGAGAGAGAGAGAGAGAGAGAGAGAGAGAGAGAGAGAGAGAGAGAGAGAGAGAGAGAGAGAGAGAGAGAGAGAGAGAGAGAGAGAGAGAGAGAGAGAGAGAGAGAGAGAGAGAGAGAGAGAGAGAGAGAGAGAGAGAGAGAGAGAGAGAGAGAGAGAGAGACAGAGAGAGAGAGACAGAGACAGAGAGAGAGAGACAGAGACAGAGAGAGACAGAGAGAGAGACAGAGACAGAGAGAGAGACAGAGAGA